GTTGTAGTAACCAGATTCCATATAGAGTCAATATACTAAAGTGTTGCAAACAACGGGTGACAAAATGGCCTCCTTTCAATTACCTGGTGGCAAGTGGTACATGAAAGTACAAGGGGGTGAATTGTGAATACTTAAAATTAATTGCTTATAAGTTGACTTATAACTTGAGTAGTCGATTGAATATGATAATTTAGCAGATATGGTAACGGAAGGTAAAATGCAGAAAATAATTGCAGGAATTAAAAACACCAGGATTTTTATTCTGGTTCGGATTCAATGTGAATCCTAATCCAGTCCCCTTGGGTTGCAAGGAAGTTCTCTTTAGTAAACGAGTTTTCTCTGAGTACAGATGTGGTCCATATCGCTCAGTTTCTCTAGTACTCGTTTTTGATACAATGTCTCACCAGTTGTGTGCTCTCTTTCTATCCCTGACTTGTTACACAGCAGATCTTAGTGAACTACAATGCTTATTTGCAGTAGAATGAAGAGAGTGATTTGGTTTGATCAAAGTATGACTAAGCTAGGGTTTACAAGGGTGTATAAATACTTTGATGGATGGTAGAGACTTGACAACCCAAGAGATTTGATCCTTGGAAAGAATTGATTCTTTTCAAGAATAAGGAATGAGTCGTTGCTTCTCTTGATTGCTTTCCTTCAGCAGAGGATTGCTTCACTTGATTTCTCCTTGATTGTTGGATCTTCCAAATGTGGTCGCTTCCCAGATCTCCTCGTATCCTTTAGTCTTCCGTGATTCTGCCCATGATTCATGCCTTTGTCCCAGGCTTATTTGATTTTTTCCAGCTCAGCTAATCATTGTTATCGCTGATTGATTCGTTGATTAGATTGCGCCCAGATTTACGAGACCAATCCAGATTTGCTGATCATATGCTGATTGATTTCTTTCCTTGTACATCATGAACCATTCCAGCAGTCTTCTTTACTTCTTGAACTTGATTTCCTGCACATGTATATTATTTGCATCATTAAAACATGATCTAACAATCTCCCCCTTTTTGATGATGGCAAAATAATATAATAAGGTAAAGAAGTAAACACCAGTCGACTTCCCTGTGTTTTACTAGTCGACTTGACTCCCCCTCAATGTATGCAATCGACTTGACCTGTCCATGACTCTCCCCTCAATGTGTGCAGTCGGCTTGTACCGACTTGTACCTGTACAGTATACAGTATATGCTACCTATACGCATATAAAATGTGTGCAGTCGACCTTTACACATACATAGATAGACACATAGTCGACTTGTACATGTACACATATACATAACATAGGCAAAATAACATAGGCCTTTTCTCCCCCTTTTTGTCATCAGCAAAGAAGGATTAGAAACATAAATAATAGTAAAGCAGGAAAGGTAGAGAGATGATCCAGCAGCTGGTGAAACAGCCCACAGTACCACCAAAACAAAATGTCAAAAAAACATAGTTTTGAAAAACATCCACACTAGCGGCACAGGAAATAGGTAAGGGTGTTGCAGATGGCCTCCTTTAACTGTTCGAAGATAGTATTTGCAGCGACGCTCAGACCATCCAGCCTGTCGTGAACCTCCTTGAAGGTTTGACGACATTCTCCCTTACTCTGAGAACAACAACTCTGATTTTTGACACGTCAGACCCTGTTTCCTTTGAAATAGCATGAATGTCACCCATAGTGGACAGAGTGGCGGAAAGAAGATTCTTGATGTCAGAGAGTTTGGAGTCAATAGAGCTAAGTTGCTCACTAAGCTCAGAACTGACAAGAGTAGGAGGAGGAACAACTGATGAAGGTTTGGTTTCCATAGGGGCCTGCTTTGCTTCACTCTCACTTTTCTTAACCCAGGAGCCCTTGATACTCACATAGCCCATACTAGCAAAAGCTCTAGAATTATAGGACTTGGAGACAGTAATGAAGGGATAGTTGGATAGAGAAATTTAATGGGCTTCCAGAATATGAGTGATTGTCATGCCATAGGGTAAACTAGTGGGATCTTCAGCACTTTCTATCATGAAATTGATGACCCAGGAGAAAAGCTTGAGTTTGAGTTTGGTGATGAGGCAGTAGACAAAGAATGTATCCCTTTGAGAGAAAGTTGAAAAGGAACCAATACGAGGAAGTAGGGTGGTTGCCACAATATGGGCCAGAACCTGAGTTTCAAAACTTACATCACTGGGGCCCAATTGGTTTGGAAGAATTTCAGAGGGACACTCAACAATGCACTATTTGGCTTGGTCAAAAGAAATTTCAAAATCCTCAGGCCATATATTTTTAAAAAGAGTAGGGAAACTAGAGCAACGATATTGGAAAAGAGAGTCAAACAAGGCACAATCAAGAACAATGCTTTTACCTAGCACTAGAGATTCTAGCCTATCTGGTTTACTAGAGCGAAGATTTGCATAAAACATTTTGACCAGGGGTTCATATACCTTAGGCGGAGGAATAGAGAGGAATTTTTCCCACCCTTGATAAACAAAGAGTTCTTTAACCTTACAGTTGAGTGCTTCCATATCATCAAGATCCACGACCCTTCTACGGGCGATGGGCTTGTCCTTAAGAGTAATGAAAAGATCCCTATTTGGGGTATCCTAGAAATTTAGGTCCGACTCGAGTGAGGCCGAGAAATAAACCTTTGATTTCTTTGGGGTGGATGAAATGGGAGGATCTTCCATGGGTCGTTTGCCTGAGGCTTTTTCTCCTAGAAGTTGGGAGTGTTCAGAGAAATCACCCTGAGATGAGGCGAAGCCTTCAGAGTGATCAAACCCTAGGTCTACTTGCTCAGGAGGCGTAGAAGGGGGTTTTGCCTTAGAGCAGGTACTTTTTATGGTGGAGGCAGAGGGATTCTTGGAGTGTTTCGCCATTGTAGAAGAGGGGATTTGCTCGAGGTTTTGGAGAGAATATGGAGATGAGAGTGACTGAAAGGGTTTTCTAACTTAAGAAGAGGGTTTTGACGGTTGAGTACAAAAAAGTAAAAGTTGTCAGTTGAGAAGACGTGATGATTGGCTTTCCATCTTCGAACTGCGAACAGATGTGAACGAAGTGAAAAGAGAGGGAAAAAAATCGGAGGCGTAATAAATGCGTGGGAAAAGGACAATTATAGCACTTTAAAAGTAATTGAGCACATAGGTCCTAAGAGTTATTAGAAAAGCAAATAATGCCAAGTAATTTTCTCAAAGTACAAAATCTTTCTTCTAACAAAGGCTTAGTAAAAATATCGGCTAATTGAGCAGAGGTGCCAACAAAGGCTATTTCTATATCTCCCTTAAGAACATGATCTCTAATAAAATGATGCTTAATATCTATATGCTTTGCTCTAGAATGATGCACAAGATTTTTTTGAAAAACAAATAGCACTAGAATTATTATAAAAAATTTGTATATGTTTAAATGAAAGCTCATAGTCACCCAATTGATGAGACATCCACAATGATTGTGCACAACACTGTCCAATAGCAATGTATTCAACTTCAATAGTGGACAAGGCGACTGATGCTTGCTTTTTACTGTTCCAGGATATTAATGCCTTTCCTAGTAATTGACATGTGCCGCTAGTGCTCTTTCTATCTTCTTTATCACCTGCAAGATCAGCATCTGAAAAACCTTCTAATTTAAAAGAGTTAGAGCGAGGATACCACAATCCATGAGATACATTTCCAATGAGATATCGAATGATTCTCTTTACAGCAGTAAAATGTGACTCCTTGGGAGCTGACTGAAACCTGGCACATTTACATACGCCGAACATAATATTTGGTTGACTTGCTATCAAATGTAGCAGTAATCCAATCATTCCCCTATATTTGGTTTCATTAACTGGCGTGACCTGCTCATCTTTGTCTAGATTTTTAGCGGGGCTCATAGGAGTGCCAATTGATTTTGCAATGTTCATACCAAATTTTTGAATCAGCTCTTTTGCATATTTGGTCTGACAGATAAAAGTTCCTTCTTCGGTTTGTTGGATTTGTAGCCCAAGGAAGAATGTGAGTTCACCCATCATACTCATTTCAAACTCGCTTTGCATAAGATTTGAAAATTCCTTGCACATAAGAGGGTTAGCACTACCAAATCTAATATCATCAACATAACTTTGAATAATGAGATTACCTTCTGATGATCGTTTAATAAACAAAGTAGTGTCTATTTTACCTCTGGTAAAGCCGTGATCAATAAGAAAAGTACTCAGCCTATCATACCAGGCACGTGTCTTGTTACCCATACAGTGTTTTGGTAAGCTTGTATACATGGTATGGAAATTTTGAATCCTCAAAACCTGGAGGCTGTTTTACAAAAACTTCTTCCTCGATAAATCCATTCAAAAAGGCGTTTTTAACATCCATTTGAAACAGCCTGAATCCTTTAAAGGATGCGTATGCCAGAAGAATTCGTATACACTCCAAACGAGCTACTGGGGCGAAAGTCTCATCATAGTCGACTCCTTCTTGCTGTGAATAGCCCTGAGCAACTAGTCTCACTTTATTTCTTATGACCTTTCCATCCTCATTCAGTTTGTTTCTAAATACCCATTTTGCTCCGATCACAGACACATTATCAGGTTTGGGTATTAGTTTCCACACTTGATTCTTGCTGAACTGATCTAATTCCTCCTACATGGCTTGCATCCAGCTTGAATACTTCAGTTCTTCCTCTACCTTTTTTGGCTCAATTTGAGAAATCAATGCAATATTTGCTTTCTTTTTTAGGGCAGCCCTGGTTTTCATTCCTTCGTTTGGATCCCCTATAATAAATTTCTGAAGATATTCGGGTTCAATTCTCCATTCATTTGGTCGAATTATATTTGTAGTCGACTCGACTTGTGGGTCTGGAGTATTGCTGCTATTTTCACCAGTTGACTCGATCACCCCAGATGTGCTAGTCGACTCCTGTGATTTTCTTTTGTCCTGAGCTTCTTGAGTTTGATCTTCGTCACCTGCAGTAGTTCCTTTCTCGACTAAGGGATTATTTTCATCGAATATAACATGTAAAGATTCTTCTACACATAAAGTACTTTTATTATAGACTCTAAAAGATCTGCTATTTAACGAGTAACCAAGAAAAATACCTTCGTCACTTCTTGGGTCAAACTTTTCAAGATTATCTTTACCGTTATTGTGAATAAAACATTTTCTTCCAAAGGGATGGAAGTAACTGATATTTGGACGTTTACCTTTCCACAGAGTTCATAAGGGGACTTCTTTAGAATTGGCCTTATGAGACAACGGTTAAGGATGTGACAAGCAGTACTTACGCCTTCTGCCTAGAAATGGTTTGGCAATGAATGTTCTAGTAGCATGGTTCTTGCCATGTCTTGGAGAGTTTTGTTCTTCCTTTCCACAATCCCATTTTGCTGTGGTGAGCGTGGTGCAGAGAAATTGTGAGTGTATCCTTGATCGTTGCAGAAGTCTTCAAAAGCTCTGCTTTCAAATTCTCCTCCATGGTCACTCTGAATTTTTGAGATCAGATATCCTTTTTCTCTTTCAACCTTTTTGCAAAAAACTTCAAAATTTCTTAAGGCTTCATCCTTATGAGACAAGAAGATTACCCATGTGAAACATGAAAAGTCATCAACAATAACAAAAGCATACCTCTTACCTCCTATGCTAGCAGTTCTAGTAGGCCCAAATAAATCCATATGAAGTAATTGCAAAGGTTTTGAAGTAGATACTATATCTTTACTTTTGAAAGAATTTCTGGTTTGCTTACCCATTTGACATGCATCACAAATATGAGTTCTAGAGAAATTCAGTTTAGGCAAACCAATAACTAAATCATGTTTGGACAGTTTTTCAATCAAATGCATGCTAGCATGGCCAAGTCTTCTATTCCATAACCATGGATCATCAGACATAGAGGATAAGCAAATGTGGCCATCGATCTTTTCAAAATCATCAAGTATATAAACATTTCCATACCTTTTTCCAGGAAGAATTATCTTACATGATTCGTCTTCAATAACACACCCTGTTCTCTTAAACTTTACCTTATATCCTGAGTCGCAGAGTTGACTTATGCTCAAGAAATTATAGTTTAGGCCATCAACGAGATATACTTCAGTAATGTCACAATTGTTATTGAAAGGAATTGTTCCAGTGCCACCTATTTTGCCCCTTGAATCGTCTCCGAATTTTACACTTCCTCCATCGATCTTTGTAACTTCCTTGAACAGGTTTTTGTCACCTGTCATATGACTGGAACACGCACTATCTAGATACCATTTTCCTTTGCGGCTTACTCTGTGGTATTCCTGCAAGACAAGATGATCACTTTCTTTTTGGTACCCAAGCTTTCCTCGGTCCTGGTGAGTTAGTGTTGCTCGGTTCAGAATTTTTTGGTTTCCAAACCCATCCTGACACATTTGATTTACGAAAGCAACAACCGGAATATTTATGCCCACTTTTATTACAGTAATGACATTTAGCTCCAGACCTATTTTCATAAGTGTTAGAACTAGCCGACTTAGATTCAGCTGGTTCTTTCCCAGTTGACTTGTAAGTCATCTAGTCCGACCGACTGGTCGACTTGGTTCTGATTGGTTCTTTTCCAGTTGACTTGTAAGTCGTCTGGTTTGACCTAACAGAACTATGGCTGGTGGATTTGCGCAAGCTGTTAAGCTGCATTTGCAACTCCTCAAACTCTTCTTGAAGTACTTCTTTTTCGATTTCACATACTTCATGTTTGAGTTTCCAGTCTTTAACCTCCTTAGTGAGTCTCTTAAGTTCATTCATCATTCTTTGAGACTCTTTTAAGGTGGAATTAAGAATATCCTGCAATTCATTACATCTTTCGCAGTCATAAGATCTAACCTCACTAGTTTCACCCCGTTCCATGAAGCAGTTCTCATCATCTAAATCATCTTCATCTGTCCAGCATCCTAAGGTTTTGTTTATTTCATTTTCCATAATTGTCATGAAACAAAGATTTGTTATTTCTTCGTGGTCTGAGTCGTCCTCATCGCTCTATCTTTCGAACGATTTGTTCTTGTTGAAGCCTCTAGAGATCTTCCTTTTCAGTTCTTGGCATTCAGCTTGAATGTGCCCAAATTTTCCACATTCGTAGCATTTTCCATAGTTCTTATCCTGTTCATTGCATTGCCTGGATCGTCTTGGTGGGAATCTTCCTTTCTTTGTGTTTCTGTATCTTCTCATCAACCCATCCATATTTCTAGACATCATAGCAATCTCTTCTTGTAGAGCTTCAACATCATCAATTTCATTTCAGTCATTTCAGTAGAGGTTTTGAATGCAACTATTTTCTTTTTCTCCTCTTGATTTGTCTTTTTCAAATGCGTCCTTTCGAAAGCAATGAGTTCTCCTCGCAGTTCATCATAGGACAATTTGTTTAGGTCTTGAGATTCTAGTGTGACTACTTTGGTCTGCCAAGTGGTTGCCGGACTTCTGAGAATTTTTCTGACTTGATCACCACTGTGTAGGGCTTGCCAAATGCCTTTAAGTCACTAATTATTTTTCTAAATCTGGCAAACATTTCTTAAATGGATTTTCCTTCCTTCATTGAGAAGAGTTCGTAGTCATGAACTAGCATGTTGATGTGAGTTTCCTTTACTTTGCTGGTTCCCTCATAGGTGACTTCAAGTTTATCCCACATTTCTTTGGTTGTATCACAACTCGATATTTTCTCGTATTCTTCACCACGTATAGCATTGTGAAGCAGATTTCTTGCCTTGTTATTCACTTGTACCGCTTCCAGTTGCTCCTTTGAGTATGAATCTATATCATCAGGATCAGCAAGTGGTAGAGTGATAGTAGGTAGGGGATAGTTTCCCTTTTTAATAACTCTCCAGACTTTGACATCGTATGCTTTAGCAAAGATTTCCATTTGTACCTTCCAGTGAGAGAAATGTTGTCCATTGAAGTATGATGGTCTAACTTGTGAAGTTCCTTCCTAAAAGAGAGCTCCTATGATAATTTGATTTGCCATGATCTTTTCTCACAAGCTGTTAAGAAAAAGGTAAAATGTGAGTCTTGCACTGATACCAGTTGAAAGTACAAGAGGGGGGGTGAATTGTGAATACTTAAAATTAATTGCTTATAAGTTGACTTATGACTTGAGTAGTCGACTGAATATGATAATTTAGCAGATATGGTACGGAAGGTAAAATACAAAAAATAATTGCAGGAATTAAAAACACCAGGATTTTTATACTGGTTCGGATTCAATGTGAATCCTAACCCAGTCCCCTTGGGTTGCAAGGGAGTTCTCTTTAGTAAATGAGTTTCCTCTGAGTACAGATGTGGTGTATATCGCTCAGTTTCTCTAGTACTCGTTTTTGATACAATGTCTCACCAGTTGTGTGCTCTCTTTCTATCCCTGACTTGTTACACAGCAGATCTTAGTGAACTACAATGCTTGTTTGCAGTAGAATGAAGAGAGTGATTTGGTTTGATCAAAGTATGACTAAGCTAGGGTTTACAAGGGTGTATAAATACTTTGATGGATGGTAGAGGCTTGACAACCCAAGAGATTTGATCCTTGGAAAGAATTGATTCTTTCCAAGAATAAGGAATGAGTCGTTGCTTCTCTTGATTGCTTTCCTTCAGCAGAGGATTGCTTCACTTGATTTCTCCTTGATTGTTAGATCTTCCAAATGTGGTCGCTTCCCAAATCTCCTCGTATCCTTTAATCTTCCGTGATTCTGCCCATGATTCGTGCCTTTGTCCAAGGCTTATTTGATATTTTCCAGTTCAGCTAATCATTGTTATCGCTGATTGATTCGTTGATTAGATTGTGCCCCGATTTACGAGACCAATCTAGATTTGCTGATCATATGCTGATTGATTTCTTTCCTTGTACATCATGAACCATTCCAGCAGTCTTCTTTACTTCTTGAACTTGATTTCCTGCACATGTATATTATTTGCATCATTAAAACATGATCTAACAGTACGGTGCGCATTCGGATAAAAGAAATTTTATGACGAGGTTACATCTTCTATTGAATTTATATTAATAGATGCACATGCTTGGTCATGTTGTGTTTCA